ACTTTTCTTTGAAAACCTGGCTTGTGTTCTCGATCTTGAGTACGTCGAAGCGGAGATGGGAGGACGCATGAGAACGTTTCGCTTAACTCTGGTCATCAATTTGTGGAGTTCGGGGCAGCCTGAGTCATTGAAGATCGAGACCCGCAACGGGTCGCAGTCATGATTGGGCGGTGACTTGAGGGTTCACAGGCCGACTGATCCAAGCAAAGCCCGTCTCCACTGGCATTCGACTTGGGGGCGGATATCTGGTCAAGGTGTGGTGAGCCTTCAGTACAACCTAGGCTCTCTGGAGCTACTCTAGAGATTCTCCAGCGAGGAAGCTAAGTGAATTGGGGGGACAGTCTTTCGGACTTTCCGTGAGTGGAGAGCTGGCAGGCGCGGACGGGTTCGGCATGCATTACGGCTATATTGATATGAATTCTCCTCTGCTAAGTCTGGGTTATCCGTCGACAGTTTGGCCGAGTGGTCTAAGGCGCTGGCTTAAGGCGCCAGTCCGAAAGGGCGTGGGTTCGAACCCCACAGCTGTCATGCTTATACCGCTCCGACGACTGCGAATGGTATCCATGTCCTCTACGGTAAGCAGAGTGATCGCAACGAATCCTAGGTACGGTCTCGTTCCTCTCCACGATTATTGTTGAGAATTTGTCCTGAAGTGGCTAGTCAGACGAGGATGCCGAGCCAGGGTTAAGGCCGAAATCTCAAGTCTACAATCTCAGCACTATGGGCATGCCAGTATTGAATGTCAGTATTCCAAGGAAGCAGCGCAACCGCTCGGAGTAGGCCCCTCCTCTGCGCGACGACTCTGAGGCTACGCTCACAGCCGCATTGTAACGCATTAGTCGGCTGGAGTGGTAGCGACGCTGGGAGAGAACTCGGTATTTCTCAATGGCCGGCAACGAGTTGAACGTCGACCCCGCAGCCTCTCCACATGATATTGATCGCGCTTTGTTGAGCTGCGACGAAGAGGCACATAATGTGAGCAGCCCATCTTTTCTTGGCTAATCCCAATAAGGATTTTCTCACTCTCCAGGCCGTCCGTCAGCACCGCTGGTTCCTGCCCGGGAGGAGTCCTCCCGGAGGACATTCCTTGTGAATCATCATTGTAGTTCACTTCCCGCGAAGTTTGCACGTTGAGTCAGTTGCTGGTTACACGGCTGCTCGGCTGGAGTCTATGACAGAGACAGCAAGACTCCATCTCATGCATCCATTACACGGAGGATAGCTCGATTGACTCGTAACTTGCAGAACGCGAGAGTATCCACAACCACTGAAACTGAGCGTTGCAGCTCTGTTAGACCCACTGTGCTTCCCACAGTGTGCTTGCCACAAGTGAAAGAGGCGCATATAAGGGAAGGACTTGGCCGATAGCCATAGTAGGCACATCACTGGCTCGGCGGGCGGTGAGAGTACAAAAAGTCTAGTGTCTGGTGAAAAACAACATGCGTGGTGACCGCACTGTGGTAAACTCCGACGAAATCTCTCTCACCACCAATACAATTCCATACCACCCAGTGGATCCAAAAACGCTGCCGGACCTGTCCCATTGGGCTTGGGTCCCTTCTGCAGGAACTTCGAGGATACGGTCTTGTCGGCATCTTGCGCCGTCACCAGCATCAGACCTTGAGCACTCATCAGCAAAGCTTGGCAGAACTTCATTCTTGGTGAAGTTACAAAGTTATTAGAACTATCCAAGGAAGCAGCTGGAGAGCAATTGCTAATGAAGAGACGAGTCAACCGAAAAGATACGGTAACCTTGATATCGGCAGTAATGCCAAGCTGGCACTGCCAACGCCACCTCAGAGGATACTCGTGCCTCAGCGGCACAACTCATAAGCACTCCATCGTGTGGCCTTCGCACTCAACTACGCAAGTGTGAACAAGTGGGCAAGGCAATGAAATCTGCTGCTTAGAGTATAACATGGACTTTCGCCCAGCTATATAGAAAGCGATTGTCACGCCGGGAAACAGACGATTATCTACCGCTTTTCTCAACTCCATTGTTTTCATCTGGAGAATATGCTTCTATACGGCAGCGAGACAACGCCTCTCTGCGGAGCTCGCAGGGCGGACGAACCCTCAAACGAGGTCGCGAGTTATCAACGGGAATTGGGACCGCACGTGCCAGGGATGCGCACTTGACACCCGGGATATGACTCGTGGCGCGGGTGTCTTCTTCGAGAACGGGGACAGCCTCACCACGACATGACAGCCTTATGCTTCTGAGGTCGATTACGTCGGCCTCTCTTGTAACGGTAAATTATCGTCGGTAATGATGGGACATATGAGAAAGGTCTTCTCAGAAGGTCTCACCTAACTTATCACTCTGCGGAGTTCGAACCGTTGGAGCTCGAAGAGAAAGATCTGATACGGGTCGAAGTTCCAATTGGGCGATGACGTACGGGTTCAGAGGCCGCGTGATCCAAGCATAGGCCGCCGCCGCAGGTGAGCTATTCGATGGCGAGCATAGGGCGGATCAGGAGCAGATATCTGGCGAGGTTGTGGTGCCCGGTTGCTGTGAGCTTTACGTGAAGGCTCTCTGGGGCCACTCTCGGGCTTCCTCAGCGAGAAAGCTCTGTTCGAGCTGCCCGTGAAACCTCAGCATCCCTTATCCGGACCTTACGCGGCATGCATCAGTACCATATCGACACGACTCCTTCGCTGTGAATCCTGTTATCAGCGTCATCGACAGTTTGGCCGAGTGGTCCAAGGCGCTGGCTTTAGGCGTCAGTCCGAAAGGGCGTGGGTTCGAACCCCACAGCTGTCAATCATTTCGACGTAGCTTGGGATAGCGAGCCATCGATGACGTCGTGTATCACGCCTGAGTCTGCAATAACATCTGAGTAGTTCACGCCTTTCATTTCCGAATCTCCCTACCTTACTGGCAATTCAAGCTGTCATTATCACCCAGAACATCACATGAAGATGAACGTGAGAAAATGTGGCGCTAGACATTCTCAATACAACAGGCTCAGGATACTATAAACATTTAACCTTGCAACTGCCCGTCATTGGACTAATCTTATCATTCGAACCTCCATTCTTCAAATCGCGCGTAGTTTATGCGCGAGACAAAACATGCCCTTGTTGTCGTAATTTTTGCGGCGTAAGGGATCGAGCCTTGCGTGAAGCCGTAGTATGGAACTCTTTGAACCATCCGACTCCGGAGCTATATTCTCCCGGAGGGTTGTTGGCCAAGAGGAGGAAGACCTCGTTGCATTTTTCATGATCGTCGCCGCTTGTGATGGGCCAATAAGAACGAAGTTTCGTGAAAACTTGATCGGACAAGTGAGCGAAGGGCATGATGGGCGCGAGATACCGATGAGCTCTCTCCACGTTGTCGAAGACGCTAACCGTACCATTGTACTTGATTTTCATCCCGGGGCCACCAAGCTGCTTGAAATACCTGAGAGAGAAAGTTCATTTGCAAACAGCTTGTTGGCAACAGATTGGTACTTCGAAATGATCAAGATAACGTGCAATGTGAGTGGAGCGAAGAGTTGCCGAGCTAAGGCTAACCCTGATTCGACATGATCGTATCAATCCTAGACGACAAGTGGACTGTGAGGCACTTCCATTTGGCACACTGGTACGATTCTTGCTCTTAGGTGTAACTATGAATACCATACTTATAGTTAAAGTTACCATACTGTAGGTGATATCAACTATCTAGAACTGCCCCGGTCTCACTTAACCCATTCTAGGCTGATGCGATCCTCGTCGTAGTGCGTAGACTGGAGTAGGTTTGAGAGCTCGCTAGACCTCGTTTCGAAGTGGACAAGTAAAGAGTTCCCGCCGTGGTATCGTAACAGGCACTCGTCAGTCGCAGTATAAATCTGACCCTCAACCTACATCAGAGAAACATCCGCTGGTGCCAAAGACATTCCGAGGTAGCAATTTCAAGCAGTTGGGGCGAAGCGACTCTAGCAACTCGGTGTGGTGAGATGCGGCGACGTACCTTTCCTTCTCTTATGAATTCAACAACCTTGTGAACTCCCACTATGCTTTTCACTTTCTCGCGTACTGAATCTATCTGCACAAATCATGCAACGAAGAATGATCAAACGGAGTGAAGGCAAGCACGGCTACCTCTGATTTAGTGAGGCTCAGACCCGCGAAGTTCAATCTGAACGCCAGAACCGACAGAACAACAATACGAGTGCAAAACATTCAGCCGGAAATAGAAATCTCTGGCAAATAAGTGCAAGGTCCCAGAAAACTATGTCTCGTCTCGTCGCTCACTGCGCACGCCACGCCTCACTGCCTCTGTCCCGGTTCCACGTACTTTGTGACGCCGTCACCGGGTGTGTTTCATCATGCTAGGTTCCTAAGGAAGGAAGCAGTGGGCATTGTTCTACCGCCACAGCCATCGACTTACACCGTACAAGTTATACGGACCCTCGAAGCATCTTGAGGATTCAGGTTTTCCCGCTCAGAAAATACGGTATGGGTGGCGGTTGTCGTAGATTGGCAGTCAATTAGACCGTGGCTGCAAGTTTAGGTGAATACGCTGATATCCTAGGACCAACACGAGGGGACATTAAGCAAAATAGGGCAGACGCAGACGTCGGAACTTCCAACTTGAAAGTCCCAACTTGGGACGAGAAATTTGTGTAATACAGAAACCTTGGGTGCCTCGTGGAATTAATCTGGTCATCATATTCCAATGTTATTTGGTTGCGATTTCCCATGCTGTTACTTACAGCCTGCAAGATACCGAACCTAGTTGGTTCAACTCACAGTGTGAGTGATGAAAGCATGCGATCTGGAATGCGGATTCTAGAACTGCGCTGCGATGTGACAATCACATCGCGAGGGAATATAACTGCTTCTCCGACCTGCCAGGTAAAGACATTGGGGTCCGACCTGACATTCCCAGGTCGGACCTGGGAATATCGAGAAAAAAGTAGAGTTTCTTTTCGTCCAATGGTCGGCTCTGAAGAGATGAAACTAACCAGGGTACTTCGGACCGAACTGGGGGACTACCCACCGAAACGACTACCCGATAACTGCGGGATTTGAACCTGCACAGATTGAGCCTAGTGAAGTTCGAGTCTACCTCCTTAACCACTCGGACATGCTATTTCGCTTAGATTACGCCTAGGCTAGTGGAGAACGAGAGGTCGAGAACGAATTTCAACCGAGACGATAACCCGACAGCGGCAGGATCTGAACCGGCGCAGGCTGAGCCTAGTGGATTTCAAGTCCATCTCCTTAACTACTCGGACACGCTGTCTATTCTGTAGGCGGCTCGACAAACTGTACCGGAGCGTGAAAAATGAACTTCTCAACAAAGATTACCCCGACAACGGCAGGTTTCGAACCTGCGCGGGCAGAGCCCAGAGGATTTCTAGTCCACCTCCTTAACCACTCGGACACGCTGTCTCGCCCGAGCGCACCTGAGCTAGTGTCACGAGCCCATACATCAGCTGATAATAGTTGCACCGGTACAATCTCGCCAAAAGCATAACATTCGGGAAAAAATCGTAATAAATGCAGCGATATCTGAGGTACAAATAAATAAACATCATCAACAGCGCGCCAGCATCGGGCCAATCAAGCAGTGGACCGCGTCTTAACTTGAGAATCTCAAGTGAGAGCTTTGCTGGCAGAGTCGGTAGCGAAGCTATAGACTCAGAGAGGCAACTGAATCAGCGATGCAAAAGCACAAGTTTGGGCTTAAACTGGATTTGGAAAAAACAACTATAGTTTGTGATAGAACAAGACTTTCGCCCTTTGGATAACAGGCGGTCTAATCGACGGTGTACCTTCAAGGCGAATGCTCCAGCGGTCGGATTCTCAATCAGTAGGTGACATGAACTAGGTGGCGCAAAACAAGAAAAATCGGTGCAGAAAGCTGGTCCGAGTGTGGATTCATCAGAAAAAAACGACCATGAATAGACTCGGTTCTCACTTGGCCTGTTCGGGTTTCGCCGATTCTCGCAGGAACCTTGAAATGCCGCCCCTCACTGATACGCAACGCGATCATTGCTCAAAAATACCTCTTCACTGGGAATGACTCGTTAGGCTGTGAATTTCGCAAATCTAGGCCAGGCTGCCTCCCTCGAGTTTCTCAGCAGGATATAGAGTGCACATATCGCTATGGAGCGAGCGGAAGAGACGGTCAATATCTTCGAGCATCTCACGCCGCGCCCTGCTGTCGCCGGGCAGGAAATGAATGGACTCGCGAAGCGGAGCTTTCCACAGCAGCATTCCTTGCGATGCACGTATATCTGAGGCTTGGAGAACCGCCGGGGGTCTTGTCGGTGGGGATCTCACGGATATTTCATCAGCCTTATAACAATCCTGTGGACTGTCAAGCACCACAGACTCCCTCAGTGAAAAGGTAGACTCGCCAGTCGAGGCTCTTTCGTTATCTGCCGATTCGTTATTATCGTAAGTGAGGCAAGACATCTCCTTGGTTGGAGAAATTCGCTCGACCTCCTCCGGCGCATCCTCAAGATTCGGTTCTTCCGAGGGCACCTCGCTCTCGTCGGACTCGTGGAGGCGAGCTCGAGTAGAATCGTCGCTAGCCTGCGTCTCAGCGACATACTCTGCGGAGGGGGCATCCCTGGCTTCGCCAATTTCTTCTGGTTGGGCCGGTTTCATCGTAAATTCTGAGCTACTCTCTGCAAGCTGGGCAGAACGTATCGGTCACAGCATGCTCAAGCAGGCCCATGGCATCCCCTAGTTCTTCTGTGAATAACGAAGTACCAGCATCGCACATCTTCTTCTGTGGGGATCCTGTTGTCGAAGTCCCGGTACTCGTCAACCAAGGGCGAGGAGCTTCTACGGTGGCTGTGGTGACTTTCAAGCCGTGATTCGGGCCCTCTGACGCCTGTGTCTCTGCATTCCGCTCTGAATGTTGTACTTGTGGGCTTTCCAACTCAGTGCACGACGACTCGCCGTCATTCACGCCGTGCCGTACCACACCTGCCGCTGCTGCTTGCTGCCTCGCCACGCCGTTGCGCACGGCGGAGCGTTCTGTTTTCTCTCTCACAGCGGCTCTGCCACTCCGCCTGTTGACTCGAGCAGCTAGTCCTCCTTCTACGTGGAGTACCACGTTGGACCTCGGCTCTGCGCCGCGCGCGTCGGCCCGTCTAGTCTCGCTTCGCCGAGCTGGATTCGGCCCATCTCGTTGCCGCGAGATTTTCTCCTCGTGGGACAGGCCGATCAAGAGTGTCGTAGTTGGCGTAACTGAGATCGCAACGTCAAAAGAAGAAGCGATGAAAGAGCGAACAGAACGTCTTGGTTCACCAACCTGGGTGAAAGGCAAGGTTCGGGGGTAGTCCAGCTATGAAATCATCCTTGACTTCATCCGACGGGAGGGAACTCGAGCACATCACGATCTTTCCGTATCTGCCAATTTCAAACAGCAGCTCAACTGCATGGTGGATTCGATGGAGCGCCACTGACGCATACGCGTAGCTCTGAGACTGGACGATTCAGTAACGAACAGATCTAGACTCGGCATTGTAGTTCTCATCTCTGTTAACGTGCGAATTCAACACTGGCCTCTCATCTTTACCGAGCAAGGTCCTGATAGGCAAATGCCTTCCAAAGCCCCATAGCTCTCCCGATCGTTGAAATGTCTTTTACAAATGGCGTTGAGGTCGATGAGGACGTTAGCCCAGGTTCGCAGTGTAGCGACTCCAGTGAGCGGTACTCTGACAAGCAGCTACTCATTTCCTAGTCTCAGCTGTGATAGCTGCTAGGGCTTTTTTAGCATTCATCATCGTGAGATTGCGTTAGCGCGAGCTGTGACATTCCCAGTTCACAGCAACACATCTGCAGAGTAGATTTGTTCTCTCGAAAGCCAGCGAAGGATACCATCACGAGATCAACTTGTGAGTTCACAAATCGAGACAGTATGTGGCAGCAAAAGTAGATGGTTACTGGACGCTCGTGAGGTTGGCGCTCGCAGCTCTATTCCGCTGGCCGTTGACCGTCTTCTCACGGAACGCTGTGCTGCAGGTTACGCTGAACCTGCATGATCAGGAGGAAATGAGCGTTGCGTTTAATAACCAACCCGAGCACGGAGAGTGGATCACCAAAGGATGGTATCAAATTCAGAGAAATCGAGCTGATGGGTTCACCTCCTTCTAGTGGCTAGGGTGACGGTCATCGAGATCGTGATTGGATGGTGGTTGGCTAGAACCGGCGAATCTTTACAGTCTTTGGCGACGTGCTCGAGGAGCGGACGGAGCTAGGCAAAGAAAACATCCACCCGAAGAATGAGCTGTGCAATTTGTGCACCACCTACAGTAGGTGGCCAAGTAGGTGACCTACTTGTATGAGCACGACGGGCAGGGTTGATGGCAGGGTATTCCCATCGACTGCGCCGAGGCCTCCTGGGCCGGGACGGCACGGCTTGCTTTCGGGGGATAGGACACCACTGGCTTCTTCCCCGAGTCCCTTTTGGGCGCCAGTGACAACACAAACGACCTGTTATCGATAGTTTAACCTCAAGTGCGACCGCTGCACTCACCGTGCGTCAGCGTCGTACTCTCGGCGTGCTCCTCCTGCAGGTTGTAGGCCAGCCCAATTCAAAGCGGGTTTAGTCCCAACCATACTGAGGAGCTCTATATAATGCCGCTTATTCGAGGACTCGTTTGGTTTGGTATCATCGGATCTTCGCGAGGCTACCATTGATAGAAGAAGTACTTCTGCCACCTGTCTTCAATGCCCTGAAACCGTTGGGGTCGATCCCATGCAATCAAGATACTCCTCACCACGGCATAGTGTTAACCATTAAGGAACTCAAGTCAATGGTTCAGTGGAATCCTGAGATTCTGTCTTCCATACTTGAACTAAAGTATTAGGATCATCTACTAGCGTCGGCTAAGCTTAGGTTCCATAGTTGTGCGCTTGCACAACTACACATAGCGATTGCGTTCGAACGCAATGTCTGTAGGTGAGACGAAAACGCTCAACTACAGGTGCTGATGAGTAGGGCATAAGTGGGACGACGACGCTCGATCCGACTGCGGTCACACATTCCAAGCATTACAGGGGCCTAAACCCCGATATTCGGGTGGACCCAGGCCCGTAGGCGCGGTAACCGCGCCGCGGTTAGCGGGCTGGGCGGGATTGGTCGGCTCGCACAGAGGCTGCAGAGCCGCTCAAATCGTTACCACGGAAACATGATGCCAAACTGATAGACGAAAGGTGGCTTCAGCTAGTGCGGTTCGTGCGAATCGCCTCCCTTTCGCCGAGAACGATATACCACTGTACTAAGATGTTAAAACTCGACGGCGATCAGTGTTGCGAGAGGCTGCATCTGTCCTGGCTAGCGCTCTAGCTAATGTCGCTTGCACACAAATCTTGTTCCCTTTCGTTCCGGTTTCACCGTCAGTGACATCCTCTTGGATTAACCTCAGCAGGATCATCAGTCACCATTTCAGTCATTCATCCTCTCAGCACAATCCGCAGATAGTCTCACCATCCCAGCACGTTACTTAGGGTGACCTCACCACACATTGGTGAGACCGATAACCTACTGCTTTGTTCCCTGCCTTTGAGGGTGTGAATAATTCACAAGTAATAGGAGAGCCTTGCTCACCGCCCTTCCCATGCATGCAGCTTGTCCTACTCGAGAAAGACTTCAGGGCAACACTATACTGACTGCTGTTCACCTTACGTTGGCCATGAGCCGCTCATGATGAGCCATAACCAAGACACAACGCTCTCGTAAAGCCATTTCAGCGATAGGGATACCTCGGCCGAGCATCGGCGTTCTCCTCGACTGCTACACTGTTAAGCCCCTTAACGATGGTTTCAAGGCTGCCACTTGACATCGATCGCTTTCGGACCAATCGGAGAGTCGTAGTTGTATTTCCGAATCAGAGAAGAAATGGGAGATCGCGGAAGAACGGCAATTGTCGCGTTCGTTGAGCCCGCTGCTAGTAGAGTAGGACAGGAGGGATCTACCGTGTGGGGTGGGCCGGCCGGTGAGACGACGCCACATGAGTCAGGAACGGTGACTGGTTCAAGCGCTACCTCTATTGGTTGGGGCGAGTTAACAGCACAGCTTCGACAGTTGAACATAATCTACCACTTGAAAAGTGCTGGCAGATCATTATCAC